CGGCCGGGCCGCCCGCGCCGCGCTGCCCCGCATCGTCATCCTCTCCAAGGCTGCCTACTGCCTCCTCAGCTCCCCGAGGAGCGGGACTCTGCCGCCCTCCTCCTCCCTCCTGCCCCACGCCGACGTGTCCTGGCTGAGCTCCCTGCGGCCGCTGCTGCACAAGGACATGAGTGCTGAGGAGCAGTCTCTCTACTACAGGCAGTGGACGACCGTCCGGCAGCACCACGCCGACTCCAGCAACCAGGGGGAGACCTCTGGCCTCAGGAGCTTCCACCCCAGGAGGCTGCTCCTGACAGGACCGCCCCAGGTCAGGCAACACTTCCCTCCTCTTGCTGTGTTAGCAGGGTGAGAGGAGCAATGGTGACAGCTGCAGGTCATGCTGTAAAGGCACCTGTGATGTCAGAAATCAGTCAGATTGTAAGGTTAAGCCCATGCTGGAAGCGGTAAGGAGAGGAAGGGTGGTGCTGTATGTCAAGTTTTAGCCTGAATGAAATACGTGGAGATGGCACTGGGCATAAAATTGCCAGGAGACTATCAGCAGAGAAGCAGTTTTCACTGCCCATCTCCCCATGTCCAACAGTCAGACAGGCTGCAGGGCAAATTGTGCTCACAGGTAGTTCTTTAATACTACTCAGCATAATGGGCAACAGTAAGTCTTGTTATGTTTTCAGGCAGAGCTAGAATGGGGTAAGTGCATTTCTCTAGAACATACCCTTCCTTCATGTCAGTCTGAATTGGGATTTGGGCTTTTTCCATCCCTGGCTCAGGTAGGAAAGACTGGCTCCTACCTGCAGTTCCTGAGGATTCTCTTCCGCATGCTGATCCGCTTGCTGGAGGTGGATGTCTATGATGAAGAGGAGATTGATGCCAGTGAGTATTCAGTAGTTATTCTTACAAGTCCTTAAGTTATTCTTAAGATGCAGTATAAAGAGCCTCTGTCATTCATTATTCTGCAGTGACAAAAGCTTGCCTTTGGTTGCTTTTACAGATCTGAGGGAAAAGGGGAGGGGGAGCATCTTAGGAATTGTGCTCACCTCTCAGATCTCACAGACCCATGAACTGCTACAGCAGGACTTTGCCTTGAGAAGCACAAATGCTTTTAAAAAATTTAAAAAATAGGGTGTTCTTTACATAACTCTGTGGTTTTGTAGTGAAGATAACTCCATAGTGCATAAATCTCATGACCATTAGCATCCTGCAAATGTAGTTCTTGTCAAACCTTTCAACAGACTGATTTGTATTTCTGCTCCAAAAGTGTTATTAAATGAAGAAAAAAGGATTTTCCTTAGAGATGGAACTTCAGGGGCTGTTATTCTCTCATTATTTGGACTAAAGTACTTCAGAAACTCAGGCTGAAATAACAAAATGTAATTTTGCCTCGTGCCATCAGGTGGGTTGTGATCACAGCAACGTGCCACACCCCTGCCAGGAATCCATGCAGCTCCTATCAGAGGAGCATTTGGGTTTCTGTGGGGGTTTTGGTTGTGGCTTTTTTGCTCCCATTACTTCTGTTGGAATGCTTCTCCAGACCACTAGTGTTCTAATGATTGAAAATACTATTTTCTGCTCCAAGCCAAAGATGTTCCTGTCCAAATGATAAACGTTCTCTTGGGGACCAAAGCAAATTCTGATATAAATTGTCTACAGACCAAACCTCCATTTCATCTGGATTTGCTTTCTCTAAGACCAGCAGCCTTTCCTCTGCCTTTGGATACTTTTGCCTCTCATTTACCCAGTGTGCCTCATTCCACCACAGAGGCTCAAGGCTACATCAGTATCTCCTGCACAGATAAGACCATTCATTTGAGCACTTTATGCTTTAGCTAGAGTGAATTCCACCTCAGCAGCTGGATGGGGAGCAGAGCAGAAGATACATGAGGCTCCTTCACCTGCACACAGTTTCCAGGAACTGCCATTCCTTTGGAAGGGTCTGTGTGGGTTATAATTTCCATTTTGGTAATATTTGGGATGTTCCAAGCTGCCTCACCCGTGTGAGTTCCTGGGCCAGAGTAAATCAGCAGATGCCATGGAAACACCCTTCACTTGGTATCTGACACTGCTGACCTGCAGCCTTACTGTGTTGTTGCAGATCATACAGAGAGCAGTGAAGTTACTCAGTCTAGCAATGACCACTGGCCAGACATTGAGATCTTCAGCAAAATGTCCTTTGACCTGAGTGTACATGACCCCAAGTACAGAACTATAAGTCCTGTGTACACAGAACAACTCTCCAAAGTGAAACAAGGTGAGTGAAATGTAGAGATGTTCAGCAATACTCACAGTGCATCAGTTTGGACTGGTTCAGTTGAACACGTGAGTTCACAAGAGCCTTTAATCTCCAGAATATTATGGAACAAGACAATTTGTGTGTTCTCTGCAAGTGTTACTGGCATCACAATCTGTTTTTTAACGCTCATAAAACTTCTGTTACTTCTTTTTTTGTGCACAGAAACAAGCAAAGAAAGAAAAACAGAGGAACCTAAGAAAAGGGAGACTGTGTCCATGATGCTGACTAAATATGCAGCTTACAATACCTTCCATCACTGTGAGCAGTGCCACCAGTATATGGACATTAATCCTGCTGCACAGGTTGGTGTCGAGGGCCAGGGGTAAGTTACATCCTTGATTTTTCTGCGGTCTCTCTGGTGTACTGCTCTGGTCTCAGGACTCATGCCTTCACCTTCCCTGAGATGGGAGTTCTTCAGTTCAGACCCAGGAGCATGAGCTGTGCCTCCTGTGTTCTGCATGAGCAGTTCTCCCCTCCAGCTGCCTCTGACAAGGGGTAGATATTGTGACCAGTTGTCTCAAGACAAAGCATTACTCAGCCTGCCCAGGGGGTTCCCAGTGTCTCCTGGGAGAGATGCCAGTCTCACCCAAATGCCAGCCATCCACACCTGTCAGGGGAGACTGGGGAGCCTGCTTCTTCCTCCTTGTGTGTAACTCAGCAGGAGCTTATGAATCCCTTCACAAAAATGGTCATTTTTAACTGTTTATGAAAAAACTTTTGATCTCTAAACCAAACAGCTACTCACAGGAGACTGGCAGGTAAGATTATTCCTGGTTAATAGCTCAGACATTACCTCTTAACCCCCACCAACAATTTCCTTGGGAGTTTCTTATCTCAGCTCATTCTTTCCCTGCTTACTAATCTTTTCCAGCAGCTTGCTATTAAGCTGTGGCAGTGTTGACACACTGACCTGGCCAGGGACAATGTCAGTTACCTCAGAGCAGCACCAGCAGGTCTGAGTTAAACCTCATCCTTCGTTAAGCACGCTGACACAGGCAGATCCTCCCAAAGGACAGCTGCTGTTCCCTCCACTCATCTCTGTGCACGTGGTGGAGCATAACAAGTACCAATAAATACAAACATCTACTTGCATGTGCAGGTGGGAGCTGTGTGTGGAGAATGATGTTGATTAAACTCAGAGAAATGACCCGTGCAAAGGGGACTCACTGGATAGCAAGCATTACAAAGGGAGAGAGATTCTTAATGCTTTAACAGAACCTAAATAAAACCCCTTTCATTTTTCATCTTTACTTTGGCTAATTATTTCAGTTCTTTTAAATATTGATAAATAATTTCCAGCTCAAATGGACTTCAGAAGAGTCTGGTTTGGCCAAAGATCATTACTGGTACAGGAAGCTGATTCTTTTAATAGCAAGGTCAGTTATGTGCCTAAGTAAAGTGGCTTCAGGTAGAGGAAAATGTTAAGAGTTCACTTCAGTTGCTGAAAGAGGGTGTGTTGGATGTTCTTCTCTGCTGCCTTCCAGCACTGTGCCTGTAAGAGCAGGTTCCCATCCACTCCTTACCTGCTGGCAAATCTTTTTTTTGTACACAGATACCCGACTCCACTCTGCATGCATTCACGTTTTCATCCTCCATGCTGGGAGAAGAGGTCCAACTGCATTTCATAATCCCCAAATCCAAAGAGAATCATTTTGTCTTCAGCAAGCAGGGAAAGCATCTAGAAAGCATGCGTCTGCCCCTCGTCTCTGACAAGGTGCGTGTGCTGTTCTTACCCACCTGGGACTGCAGGCAGCTGGACAGTTTGCAGTGGCTGGTGGTTGGCTGTCCTGGGGTTTTCTTCCTGTTCTCTTTGATTTAAAGTTCTTTGTGTAATTCTTGCCTGACTGTCCTTAGAACTGGTGTTTTTGAGGACAGTCTTCCCTTTGTGCATTCCTAATGTCCAGTTCATATCTGAGGCAATGATCAATAATCTTCAAATCCAGTACAAACAATAAATTATTTAAAATCCATATCAGGAATGACTCATTTTTTACTTAATGTTGCCAAAATTTCTCCTGTTCCAGCAGAACCTGAATGCAGTCAAGAGCCCTATCTTCACTCCCTCGAGTGGACGCCATGAACATGGCCTCTTGAACCTCTACCATGCCATGGAAGGCATCAGCCACCTGCATCTCCTTGTGGTCAAGGAGTATGAAATGCCACTGTACCGCAAGTACTGGCCCAACCACATCATGCTGGTGCTGCCAGGGACGTTCAACAACGCCGGCGTGGGTAAGGGACCCGCCAGGGCTGGGCTCTGGAGACAGCACTGCTGCTGGGACCTGGCATGGTGCTTGATCTCTGCCTTCTCACTGTGATACCTGGTGCTCTGTAGGGTATGGTCACTCACTGGGCTCAGCCCTGCTGTGTCAGTGTTCATTCTAGACTTTTGCCACGTGATTTTTTGTTTTCAAATTGCAACTTTTTAGCTGAAGCTAAACATTAACTGCAGCCGAGCACTGGGGGCTTGACCTTTGGGATTCATTTTCATGGCTGCTGAGTTTTTCCTGCAAGAAGTTTAAAGTAGGATCAGTTTTAGATTCTTAGCCCTTTCTTGCTGCAGGTTACTCTGCTGATGCCCACAGACTCATGTTCTGCAGAGGCTCTTAAAAGGTTCAATCTTCTCTGTATCTGCCTTTTCCATTTACTCCCATTGAAAAAGGGACACCCTGATTTCTTTCTAAGAAACGTCAGGAGCACTAAGTTCAAAAAGGGTGACGACTGCTGATGTTCATGCAGCCTCCTCCTGGGAAGAGAGAGTGCCAAGGTCTAATAAAGATCTCTGTACATCTCTATGGTGTTTTTCTCAGGTGCTGCCAGGTTTCTTATTAAGGAACTTTCCTACCACAATCTAGAGCTGGAGCGGAACCGGCTGGAGGAGCTGGGGGTGAAGCGCCAGTGCGTGTGGCCCTTCATCGTGGTCATGGACGACTCCTGCGTCCTCTGGAACATGCACAGTGCCCACGAGCAGTCCAGGTGAGGGCCCCCTGCACTGAGCCACCACAGGCAGCACACCTCTGAGCTCACCCCTGGCGTCTGGCAGGCGAGGAAAGACCAGACAGCTGAAAAAGCCTGGGAGCTGGAGCTGCTGGTGATGTCCTCGAAACGTTGCTAAGCAAAAGCAACCTTCCACCGTGGCTTTCGTGCAGTTACAGCAGGCTGCCTGTCCAGAGGGCCTCCCAGAGGTCATTATTTCCCCAGTTGTTACTCAGGTAGCCCAGAACTGGACACCTAGACACCGGCTATATTAGCTAAAATGCAAAAAGCTCAGCTCCTTCACCCAGAGCAGAAGGAAGGCTGCAGACTTGCCTAGCTGACCATGAACATCCCACCTCCTGCTGTTGAGCATTCTCCCCTGGCTGTACCCTACATCAGTGCCCAGTCAGTACCAGCAACAAACCTCTGCTGGTGCTTCTTGGTTGCGTGAAGCCATTGTTGCTTTTAGTCACTATTTGAGTGGTATCTCAAGAAGTTACATCCCTGATCTGTTTTGATTCAATTTATGTTTCTCAATGAAAACAAATCATTTGGGGAACTTTAGCTTTATAGACGACATTAAGCTCTTGCCCTTCTCAGCACTTATGCTGTCCATTATGGAGAAAACAGCTTTCCAGAAATGGTGCAAGGAGGTTCCTTCTCCATGGTTGTGTAAGACTTTATCCAGCTGAAAGGCCCATTTTCTTATCATGACTAAATTGATGAGATAAGATTAGCTGGCTGCTGTTTTAGAAGTCTTTGGGTTTGTATATATTTTTATAGCCTCTTGAGTAAATGCTCTCAATTGTTAATGGAGTTTCTTCTATGTCTCTATACACAGTACATGTTATACAAAAATAATAAGCCCTGTTTGTATCTTGGGTGTGATTGTGTTTTGCAGCCAGACCCTGGAGCCCGGGGGTTCCAGCAAGAACGTCTCTCTGAAAAGTGTCCTCCAACACATTGAAGCCACCCCAAAAATTGTTCATTATGCAATCCTGGGTGTTCAGAAATGGAACAGCAAGCTGAATTCCAGGAAAGCAAAGGCTCTGTTCTCCAGGTGCCACGTGCATGATTTCATACTGCTCAACATAGACCTGACCCAGAACGTGCAATACGACCTGAACAGGTAGGCAGTGCACGTGTGTGGGGAACAGAGATGGGCTGGCCTGAGGGGGGCTTGTCCCCATGCTTCTGACTGCTGCCAGGACAGGTAGGGACATCCTGGCTGAGGTGATGGGCACACAGCTGCAAACTGAGACACAGAGTGACAGGAGTTACATCTGAGCGAGTGAGGCAGCAAAACACACCTACCATCAGCCCAAAAACATGGGGGGAGAGAGAGGGGATGAGGCAAGGGCACAGAAGTGAGCAGTTACACTGTAAATAGCACAGGATCAGCATCACTTCCCTGCTGCTTTGTCTCCCATAGCCAAATATTTGTCAAAGAAACATTTATGCCCTGATTCCCGTTCATCAAAAAATATCATAGAGCTGGCTCGTTCAGAAATGGAGATCAGCCACTGCAAAGCTTCTCTCTGAGTATAAGGAGGAGAAAAATGGAAAGGGTGAGGAGGAAACGATTGCTGCTGACCCACGAGGAGGCTGGGAGGGGCAGCCAGACCTGTATGGGGCAGCAGCACCCAGGTGCACTGAAAAGTGAACCCTGCTTTGGTCTTAAGCTGTCCAGAAGTCGCTTTTCTGCTCTGGGAGCACACTGAAGGAATGAGTCTTCAGGGCAGTGTGGAGGATTTGTGTCAGCAGTGTGCCAGAGGGTCTCCAGGAGGCCCTGCTCCACACGGAGCGTGGGTGCTGGGCCAGTGAGCCTGGGCTGGGTCTCTCTGCAGGTACTTCTGTGAAGATGTGGATTTCAACCTGCGCACCAACAGCAGCAGCCTCCTCATCTGCCGCTTCAACAACTTCAGTGTCATGAAGAAACACATCCAGGTTGGGGGACAAAAGGACTTTGTGGTGAAGCCAAAGATCATGGTGAGTGTGGCTGTGTGCTCTGTGGTGTGCAAAGGGTAGAACCAGGACCCGTTTCCCCTGGAAATAACCAGTTCTCTGGCTTTTTAGATTTATTTGGTGCGTATCTGACGCGTGACATTCGTGGCCTACTCCATGGGAGGGCTCCCACACCAGAAATAACAAATATCTCACTAATTATAAACTATGAACAATAAACCTCCTGATCTCTTAGAGGATGGATGGGGATTGGGAAGAGGCTGGTCTGGCTGTTCGGGGCCTCTCTGGTGGAGGAAGAATTTGCAGACACTCTGACCAGAAATAGGCAAGTTGTACAGGACCCAGGTTTAAAATTTTAGCACAGCCACTGGTTCCTAGTGTTTGCTGGCTTGGGATGACATTTTATACAGAGTATGATACCCCTGTAATGGTTTTAATGGAATTATATTTCAAAGGGTTGGTTTTAATCTAGGAATCTTAGTTTCTGTTCCTGCTGGTTGTAAGCACATCCCACAACATCACTTGTAAAAACTCACCCTCATATTTCAGATTTAACCAGCTAAATCCCTGAAATGCTGGGGTCTGAACCCTGAGCCCCGAATTAAGGTTGACATGTGGGTGATCCCCACAGCCCTTCATCCAGAGGGGTGAGTTTGCCTTAGAGCTTCCCCCCAGGGTGCGGCCGGCCCTGCAGGGAGAGCCAGAAGGGAAATGAGCCCCAGGGGTCCCGCAGGGAGCTGACAAAGGTCAGGGCTCTGCTGGGGGATAAAAGCTGGG